CGACAGATTATTCTTTCTATGTCGGCATTTAATTTTGCAATTTAAAATAAAAAAATAGGATGACAAATCACGAGTGGAATAAATAATTCATTATTTCATATCATTGAAGAAACAAGTGAAAAAAGGATAATGCATGTGCAAAAAATAAATATATATAACTTTGTGTTATAATATAAGTGCTTTAATTTCATATTTTATAAAGTTATACATTATTTTTTAATAATTTATCTCATCAAATAAAAATATAAATTAAATGAATATGATAAAGTGTAAACTAAAATTTTTTATAAAAATAATTTTATTTTCTCACATCCCATTGTGGTCATTTTAATTATTAATAAATAAAAATTATATTTATTAAATAATTATTTAGTATATGAAATAAGATAGAATAATTATATGTATACTATTTATATTATATAATTTATCACAAATAAATTATTTATTAATTCAATTGCCTGAAACAATGATGGTTATAAATTCATTACTTGTTCAAGTAAAATTAATAAAATTATATTACCTAAGAATTATGTCATTCATAACTGGGTTGATGATTTAACTTTTCTTTGCTTATAATATGTAAATTCCCTAGTTGATTAATGACCCTCTCTCCTCTCAGCTTCTCCAAGAACGAGTACGGTTTGACACCAAAAACAGTACGGTACCCAAAAGGAACAGGCGACACAGTGCAGATATCTAAATAGAAAAATGAGAGAGTAAATCATATTTTCAATTTCAATTCTATATATATATATATATATTTGAGAATACATGCAAGGATCATTAAGTTGACAAATAGCAAGTATGCTCGATCCACATTTCATTAGCTGATGTGATATACATACATTATAATACTAAACTCTTATCAGAAAAAAAGCTTCAAAGAGCCAATGTTACAACCAATCTAAGCTTTATAGTTTGGAAGCAGGTAATCCTGACACAAGAACAGAAATACGAGATTTGTAAGGCAATCGTATTAGAAAAAAGGAAGAAAAAAAAATAAAAATAAACAAATAGAGCATTTTTATCAGATTCAGAAGCATGGATTGTTAATTACCCAAGGCTTTTGCATTGACAATGCTAGGACAAGCAGCAGGAGGTGGAGCATTCTCGTTCAAGAATGGTTCGACCCGGTTCGGATCACCCCATATTGGGTATCCTTTAATCTTTCCCTGTAATTCAGCAACATATAAAATCACTTATGATTCAACCAATTAAACTTTATGTATGGTGAATTTTATAATAGATTCCTACTAGGACATTTAGAGCTGCCAGTGTTGCCATTCCTTCACGAGTCCACTGCAGACAGAATGAAACAAAGTCGATACATCAATATAGGCTCAATCAATACTCACCCTCATCAGTTAATTAGATTCAACCACTGTTGTTTGTTTTACCTTGGAAGCTGAAGCAATGTGAGGCACGACAATGGCATTCTTCATCTCAGCAAGTCCAGGTTTCATGTAAGGTTCTTCCTGAAACATGGTAATAACAGAATTAATTTTCTTATTCTTGGTTTTCAATTTGTATGTCATGGAAATGGATGAGTTCACAGTTACCTCAAAAACATCGAGACCAACTCGAAACATTGGGTTTTGCTTCAAATGTTCTACAAGAGCTGCTTCATCAATTACTGGACCTCTACTGCAGTTCACAAGAATTGCTTCCTACATTTTCATACATTAGGCAAAGCATTCTTAAAGGAACGAAAAACAAATAAATAAATAAACAAACAAAAGGATTTTCATCGCATTCAGCATTACCTTCTTCATCATTGCAAGCCTTTCTTTGTTCACCAGATGATACGTGGTTTTATCCAAGACTGGGTGAAGACTTATCTACGAAGAATATTAATAACAAGTAAGTTACCTTATTAACAGAACCAAATTAAACTTTAATACACTTTTACTTCTCATAAAAAAAAAAAATCACTTTTCTCTATAAGATTGTAAGTCGAGTCGGGTTGTACATGGTCTCATTATGAGGTTCATTACATTGTTATTGGCATACAAATATCACCTAATTGTTAAAATTTTATGAATTTTTACTACGATAAACTTTTTAGAAAAGAGATTCTCACCACATCTGCCTCTCGGAGCACCTCATCCATGCTTGCTGCTCGTTTCCAAGTAACGGGCTGTTCGCCATTTGCCTTCAAGAACTCACCATAAGCTGTTTGAGGTGGAAGTTTTTATTCAGGCTTTGGAACTATAGATTATTGGATTAAATAAATTGGCTATAAAATACCTGTAACAAACTTTTCTAAGCGTGTGGCTTGATAAAGATCATAGTAAATTAAGTTCATTTTGAAACCCTCAACCTGTCAACAAGCAAGCAATGAACTAAGCAAGGAAATGAGAAAAGACCAATAGGCTTGATAGTTGAAAGGAATCAGAATGAATTTTTACTGGGTAATCAAAGAATTTTCATAACTTAAAGTTTCATTTCTATACCCTTTAAACACAAAAATAACTGAAGAAAGTTACATTCAAGTAAAAAAAAAATCTGGAGAATTTCTGATAAAATTAAATGAGAAATCCTTACCATCATTCTAGCATATGCAGATCCAATACGGCCAGCTCCAATAACACCAACTGTCTGACCTTTAAGCAAGTTCCCTACGAACCTATTGTGCCAAAAAAGGAGTAGCATCATGAAATTGATCAATTGGGAAAACTACAACATGAACTAAATCAATAAAGTAATAGCTTCTGAAATTATATTGTAACTCATACAGATGAGGAAGCCATCCATCATATAATCCTGCTCTCATAAACTCATCTGCTTCAACTATCCTTCTTGCTGCTGATAAAGACAGTGAAGCTGCCAACTCTGCCGTCGTCTCAGTGAGCACTCCCTACAAACGCATGCGGACTGGATTATACCATCATCTTTTTCTAACTATACAAAATGGATCTCCATATGCACCAAACTGAGAACCTATACTCAATAGTGGGTATGACTACGTGTGATATAACTTATATATAAACTACCCATCAACGTATAGAAACTTGTTAATATCAAAATGTCTCTGAGACATTTGATCAAACGTGTCATATTCATCCATTTCTCTTTTCCCGGCTACCCAGCTGATAGACATAATTACAAGAAATAAACATAGAATTATTGATATCCCACGAGAAAAAGAACTTACAGGAGTGTTACCAATCGCAACACCATACTTGTTTGCAGCATTAACATCGACATTGTTGTAGCCAACTGCCATGTTACTAAAAGCTTTGCCTCCAGCTCTACTCAGTGCCGCAAACAAAGTCTCTCCCCAATCCTCCGTTAGCTGAATTTAATACATAATCGGAAAACTTCTCATAAACACAAAGGAAGAAGATTCACAAAGCGATTTGACCAAAACAGTCATAGCTGATTACCTGTCCAATTACTCCATCGCATCTATCACCGATCAAAGCAATGATATCCTCAACGGACAATATTGTTTTCTTTTGCGTGCATATCTGAAAATGTAAAGAAGAAAAGGAAACAAAACCCAACTTTACAGAGCTTGTTCAACGAAAAGAAACAACAACGGAGTGCATGAGCTCAGGAGAATAAGAGAATTTACTTCAACGCGACAATCTTGTTCGATCAACAGATTGATCCAGCGAGTTCCGGGCATAGGCTTGGTGCTGACAACTCTGTATTTCCCGTTTGGGTTCCAGACTTCAATAGAGACTGGTTTCGCCATGATAGCGAGGGCGTTCAAGTTACACAGAGTACGTTGCAAGAAAGCAGAGGAAAGGGAGCCTTTAAAATTTTCCGGTTTTTGCGTTTGACTACGCTGTGCCAGTGCACAGGATAGAAGAAAAGCTTCAGCTAATCACATGTTTCGGTTGAATTTAACTGTTGACTCAGAGGAGTTGACTGGCTCGTCTTAAGAGATGCAGATTTATCAAATGAATCCGTTTGTAGCTTGGGTTTGATCCTTCAAGATAGCGCGTGACTGTTTAAGAGCTTACGTGGCTTGCAGCGAAATGTGGTGTTTCTGGACCTCTTATTAGGAATAAGATAATGGTGACGTGGCTTCTTGTATGAGAGCCACGTATGAAACATCTATCTATTTGTTAAATGACGAGAAAGGGCATTAGTCCTTTGGATAAAATGAATCTATTGGGTTTTATAGGGACATTTTCGTAAATTTAGGGAGCAATCTTGAAGTCTTGCTTAACAAGGGGAAGGTAAAGATTAGGTTCGAACCAGGGATGGTCTAAGGCCGTCTTGAGCCCAATTGGGCCCATGGATCGGATCAAGTTCACGGGTTGTTCCAGCCCATCCACGACTGAACCTTTCTCAATTGGCACGGCTAGCATGCCAAATTATGAAACCATTTTCTAAATTTTATATTATCTTTTTACACTAATGAAGTTAGAAGTTATTCTTGAGATTTATATCAAACTCTTGGGAGGAGAAATCATCACATGCCAGCTAGGGATGACAATTTCAACATGTCATCTTTTTTTATTGAATAGTGGATTTCGGATTGAATTCGGATTTATTCTACTAAAATTTGTCCTAACATACCTCAATATATGTATGACTATATTGAATTTTTTTATAAATATAAATATATTTTTATTTTTATTAATAAATAAATTTGTATTAAAAAAAAATTGTACTGTTAAACCATATGTGATACAAGAGTTAAAAAAATTTTGAACTTGTCATGTTTTCATCTTTATCCACCAATTAATTACACTTAATTTAAGTTATAAATTTTATAAAATTATATAAATTTAGAAAGGAATAAGCTAATTCATTTGTTATTAATAATGAATAAGATTTTGATAATCCTTGTAATCATGAATATTATTTTATTAGCTTTGAAATAAAAACACATATAGTAATTCTTTAAAACTTACGAGATTTTGACTTTAAACTCACTTTTTATTACATGTAATAACAAACAAATCTCGCCATAGCTTGTTGACACAAATGCTTCTTTAATTGCTAAGAGTTCAACAATCTTAGAATTAACAATCTCAATCATCTTTGAAACAGTACATCTTATTCACAATTTCATTTTTTTTAAAAAAAAACACAAAAGCATATATAGGATCTAGTTTGTCTAGAACCAAATTACCATTGTCAATTTTCAATAAGTTTTCTCTAAGTGAAACAAGTCATAAGTAGGCTAAATAATAGTTATCTCTATTCAACTCGATCATTATTAAGAATATAATTAATAATGAAAGTATTTTTATAAATAACTAGATTACCTGAAATTCAAACCACCTTAACATCATATTATAGATATATGAACTTTTTCTTAAACACAATCATATTCATAGTTAATCAAAAAACACAAAAAGAAAAGAAAAACAAAAAATTTTCCCTTATTGTCTCATTTATACATAAAAGCCTCAAGACATAAAATTTCAAAGGACTTGGTCCTTGCCCATTTTGCCCCTACCACGATAAGCAACTAAATGAAACTAATCAAATCCACTTATTTACGAGATAGTAGAATATGAGAAGTTGTTTTCTCTTTACAAAAAAGACACCTATGATGAACAACTAACTTAATTGAAAATTATGAAAATAACTTAACATACACATGCAACTTTTTAAGGTTTGCCATATAAAAATATTTTTTTTGAAAAGTCTTGGTTTGCTAACACCTAATCCGTTTATTGGATTAACACCTTGGTAATTGACCATACCTAAGCCTAAAACCAATTAATTGACCATGTTTAACACCTTCGTAAGTGAACAATTCTTGGAAACAAAATTTTCAAAAACACATACATTTAATTTGCCAATTTTTTAATAATTTAGCTCTCATCTAATACCTACACAAAATTGACATTTAACCTCAATAATTACACTATGTAAAATATATAACCTTCTTAATCTTAGTAATACTCCTCGTGTCCTGAATGTTATACTTAGAACAACATATAGAGAAAAAAAATTTTAGAAGAATCACACCCATAAAAGTCACATATTAACTCTTTTCACTAAAAATCTCCTTCATTGTAAACCTTTAAAGCCACTTATGCAAAAACTTTTTATTTAAATCCAAATTTATTATCCAAATATTTGTTAGTATATACTACTTACAAATTTGTAAAGTAAATCCTCTTAACCCCTCTTTATCACCCCGTAGAAAAGCTTATCATCACACATTCTACCCTTTTGGCTACTCCTTTTTGGTATCATAAGCAATAATATTAAATAAATTGAAAAAACACTCATCACCTAGGTTTATCAACGTCACTCTTACTTTAGTTGATAGGTGACCACCTTACATATAGCTAATCTACTCCTCAACCTATCAAATATCAGTTGTCATGTCTCAGTTGAAGTTAAGTTTACCGCCAAGAGAGGTCACTAGTAAACCTAATACCTAAGTTTCATTTTATTTTCATAAAAGTTAACATTTAAAATTATATTGGCTCTTAAACACTTTAAGAAGTCTTAATGGTTACTAACTCTATTTTCCTAATCCTTGCAAAACAAAATAAAGTTCTATAAAAAAAAAAAAAAAAATCCCTCCAAGTTGCACATTACTCAACACTCTCAAACTTACCATCTTTTAAACCATAACTATTAAACATTTGATAACTATATTAAATTAGGAATAAGCAATTGTTCTAAATTATATTGAAATTGAACTTAAGAAAAATTTATGACTGAAGATTATATTGTACTAGACTGCGTTGTTCAAATATTTTATTTTTGTATATCTTTTCGTACTTATTTTGATTTTTACGTATTAGTTGATAAGATATGTATATCATTACGAAATAAACTTTAATTTCTTAATTAAGAACATGTAGTTAATCTTACACAATGCAAATAAAGTTTTTTTTTTTTGTAATTTTATAACATATAATTGAAGAATAAAATTTATTGCTTAATATATCTGGTCTTAATGACGGTACATATGTTATTCATAGTGTTCTTGCACCGGTCTTTACAATCTCTTTCTGCAAATAATTACTACATAAATGGATTGAGTAATTTATCGGAAATACATTATGGTAATTATGAGTAATTTTTTATGCTCATGAAATGTAAGCATATCATATATTCATATAGATATATATACACACACACATATATAGTAAAACATATATTTCGAGGCTCTAGCTATAGTAAAGATCTTTCCTCTTCAAACATTAACACAATATTTTTACAAATATTGGTAATTAAATTGATTAATCATAACCAAGAAAACGTCCAAAGGTGAACCATATAATCTGCAATTAGTTTTCATATAGAAATTATAATCATGCATTTACATAAACAGATTTTATAACTTACATATCTTGGATTAATCACATACATAAAATAATAGAGAATTAAAACACAATTATTAGTGCCAACCTAACTAGTTAATTTTAATTCAATGAATGGAAATTTAGCCCCCTCTATAAATACTTGCACATACATGTTTCCTCTACACCCATCACAAACACCAAAATAATCATACACAGTGGACCCGACTCTGCAAAAAAAATGGCGAAGAAGACGGCAAGCATGGGACGCCAGAGAATCCCAATAGCCAAAATAGCAAAGAAAAGCCATCGACAAGTCACCTTCTCGAAACGGCGAGCAGGGCTTTTCAAGAAAGCAAGTGAGCTTTGCACACTTTGTGGAGCCGAGATTGCCATTGTTGTCTTCTCACCAGCATGCAAGGCCTTCTCTTTCGGCCATCCAGAAGTGGAATCTATTGTTGATCGCTTCCTCACTAAAAACCCACCACCAAATCAACCCACTAATGCAGCCCATCAACTTGTTGAAGCTCATCGAAACGCCAACGTCTTGGAGCTCAATTCCCATTTAACTCGGCTTCTAGCCTGTTAGCAGCGGAGAAAAAGAGGGGAGAAGAGCTTGAGCTTGCGAAGAATGCTAGCCGGAGACATTGCTGGTGGGAGAATCCGGTGGAAGAATTTAAGGTTGAATCAGCTGCAACAGCTGAAGAATGCGTTGGAGGAGCTAAAGAAAAATGTGGGAAGACAGCTAACAGGATTTTGGTTCAGTCTGCAATCCTTCGGCGTCGATGGCAATGGAGGTCAATGATAATAGTAATCATTATGAGTACAAAGTGAATGAGATGAATCAGAAGATGATGAATAATATTAATGGTGGTTCAACATTTTCTCATGTCTATAATTTTGGTTATGGACATGGGTTTTATGGTTGATCTAAATCAAGAGCTATAGCTAGTATCTCACTAGTAATTTTTTTTTCTTTCTTCTAGTTTTTATTATAATTTAATAATATTAATAATGAGTTAAGAAATATTAAGGTTAATTATTTTATTAACGATAATTTATTAAATTGGTTAATATGTTGGGATCTCATCATAATAAGGGAGATAATACATATAATAAAAGCCATTATAATTTTAAATATATTATTCACTCTAAAAAATAATTAGAAATGGAAAAGTTACTCTAACAATTATTTAATCAAATTTAGTGTACATGTACACTTTTGTACACATTTGTAATAAAATATAATGATTTTATTGTAATTATGATTGTAAAATGGTAGTCTGTTTTCATCATTCTTCCTCTTTTTGCCAAAACTTACAAAATGTGCTTATCAATTATATGTAGATATGTAATATAATCATATATGTGGTGTGTGTATATTATATTATATTTTAATTATACATCAAAACTATGTTATTTGATTTATTATTAGGAGAAATCAACATTAAAAATAAAAAATAAAAAAATTAAATCCAAGTAAAATCTTATACTTTTTATGTTATAGTTTCCTTTTACTAATTATGGGCCGGACTCAATATTTAGAAACCTAAAAAATGTATGGTTTTATTCTGACTATATTTGGAAATATCATACTTTCTAATGATTATATATATATATATATATATAATTGAATCAAGGAGATATGAAAATAATTAATACAGAGTTGAATAAGTTATTGAAATTAAATTAAATCTTAATTTTAGTTACTGATTGATTGATTTAATTTCTTAATTAATGGGTGTTATTAATTACTAAAATTCTCTCCTTTTTTATGTTATATTATTTGCATGCAAAAATTAGAAACAACTAAACTTTTCCTTCTTCTTCTCTTCCGCATTGAATTTGATCAGTACTGCTGATTCTACCAATATGAAGAAAATCATCAGCAACAACAACAACAACAACAAAATCAAGACAAGCAAAGGTCGGCAAAAGATCGAAATAAAGGAGCTACAAAACAAGAACGCAAGACAAGTCACCTTCTCCAAACGCCGCACCGGTCTTTTCAAGAAAGCCAGCGAGTTGTGTGTTCTCTGCGGCGCCGAGATCGCCATAATCGCTTTCTCCCCCAACGACAAGCCCTTCACGTTCGGCCATCCCAATGTTGACTCTATCGTAGACCGCTACCTCGCCGACAACAACCACACCGATGATGATTATAACCAGTCGGAGGGCCAAGAAATTAGTGAGACGATGACCCTTGATCCGTCTCTTCAAGAACTGAACAGAGAGTATGAAGAGGCGATGGAAGAGTTGAAGGAGGAAAAGAAGCGGGCGAAGAAGATAGAGGAGGTGAAGAAAGAGAGTGGCGAAGGGTTTTGGTGGGATGAGAGTGTTGATGGACTAGAGTTAGATGAGCTTGAGGAATACGTGAAGGCATTAGAGGAGTTGAGGAAGAAAGTGATAAACAGAGGTAAAGAGCTAGTGATGATGGAGGATATGGCGGTGGCAGGGATAGGGAGTAGTACGGATGTTGTTGTTGATCACCAGCAGATGAGCACTGGTTGCGGGAGCAGCAGTGTTATTGATGATGGCTGCAGTAATAATGGTGGTTTTCATGGATTTAGTTTTGGTTTTGGAGACATTATGAAATTCTGAATAATCTGTCTGCAAATTTCGTTGTCTTCCAAAATAAAATGTTTTGTCTATCTATGGGGTGTTATTAGTTAACTTCATCAACAGAAATAAGACATTTACGACTTGTTACAAATGTGCGCGCGCGCGAGAGTTTATATATACATATGCGTAGTTATACACGTGTGGATTATTTCCCTTTAAGTTTTTAAACTAAAATCGAAAA